AATATTTACATATATAGATAAAATATGACAAAGCAAAACTTAAATCAAAAGCTGTCTGCAGTGTTATATATCTGTGATATATATGTCTGTGAAGTGTCAACATTTCCGCATCATAAAAATCGGGAATGTGAACGTACAAAATTGTCAGCAATTTTTTGCATTATTTATGATAATTTTTGTTTTACTTTGGTTTTTTCCCCTTACAATTATGTTTTTTTTTTTTAAGCACAAAAAAAATTGCGATTGCAATGAATGCAAATGAATGAATTTGCATTTTATAATTTAATTGTTGTTTTGTTCATTATGAATTTTGTACTTTTGCATTTCACAGCAACAAAAATAATGATTATATATAATTAATTTGAATTTTTTGCATTTTATCAATAATATTTATAGTGCTTAGCATAGAGAAAAGTCCGTCGTTGATTCACGGGCCAAACTAATGCGGCCGCATATTTTTATCACTTTTTGTTAATATCAGTCTTTTGGGCTGCATCAAATAGGATATCGACCCAGACACTTTGACACTCAACACATATTTTGGATTTTTTATTTTTATTATTATTATTTTTTTTTTATTTTTTGGGTTTTCTTACCTGGCGCGATGAGCAGCAGAAAAAAGGCGCCGTACAAAGTTGAAGAAAAACTGCGATTCATTGTGATATACTTTATATTCTATATATATAGGTATTTATTTTGGTATTAGTTGATTGAAACTTATATATACTGTTTATCGTATATATCGTGAACTAAACAATTTTTAAAATATATGCATTTATATTTAATTATATATACATATATGTATGGATCGATGCAAACGCGACTTCAGCTTACGCGACCGCAGTTTATGAATTCTGGAATTTAACTGAAAATCTTGTGATTTGTTTGAGACTTTTTATAGAGTTTTATAAGCCAGTTGCGCCGCGGCGTAAGACAGAGATAGCTAGCTGGCGTAAAAGAGACAACCGAGGCAGAGTGAGAGTGGGAGAGAGAAAGAGAGCGCGTTTAAGTTTAGGTTTGCCCGTCTGTACTGAGTGTGCGTTGGTAAATATTTCTTTATTGATAACAAATTAATTTATAATGCAAAATCCAAATGGCCAAAAAAATGAAAATTGAACGGGCCTAAAGAGAGAGGGTAGGAGCAACAGAGAGCACACTCTCTTCGGCTCTTTAGCTTTGCCCTCTAGAGCTGCAGCTCTTCCGAATTGCGCTTGATGCGCGCCAACGTCTGGGAATTCTCGCGAAGAGAATGAGCAAAATGCGTAAAGGTTTTCCGCCTTTTGTTTTTAATGATTCAATGTCTGGGTTTCTTACAAAATCCCCACTCGGTACATTATGCATGTGCATATCAAAAAAACTTTTAGAAAAACCTGATGAAAAACACTTGAAAAAGCGTTATATATGAAAGTTCAGATAAATATTTATTTATTTAAAAAAAATTTTTTTTTTTTAAATTTACATTTAATATTATACAAATATCTATTCAATTTTATACATTTTATAATTCATAAAGGGGTATGAAATATAATACAATAATTTATAATAAAATTATTTTCTATAAACTCAATATTTTTCTTATCTTAAATTTTATTACCATATATATATTTTTTTAAATATGATTTTTTTGGGATTTATTTTTGGAATCCATACACTTAACACTAGGTACAGCTTTTAGAGGAAAACATCGGCACAGCAGAAACTATCGGTAAAGTCTAAAAGTAGAGGCTACAATTTTGCCACAAAATATTTTCTCTTGCGCAAAAATTAAAAATTATAATTAATTGAATATTTAACGCTCACTTTTTCTGTGTGTACAATGTATTTACAGCTATTGTAATAAATTGTATGCTAATTCAAGCACATTGTCGCACATTGTTTACTGTCGATGCTCTGGTCGGAATCAATGTGCACACCTTGACGGGACTCTCCCGCCTTGAATATAAACAACGGTCAATCCCTACATTTACTTAATAGAGGTACTGCATTATGCGTGCACCAGATTAATGTTAATGTTAATGTTGATTTAACTCTGGATGTCGCATGATTAATATTACTCAATATTAAAAGCACGCAAAATAAACAAAGCTTGATTTCAATTTTTCCTCGCTCGGCTATATAAATTAACACTTTTTTATTTGGTATTTACCCGTGCCATTTACACCTATTGTGCAGCTGCTGTTGCGACAACAAGTCGTGAGAATCGCCGAGAAGAGTACGCGAGCACTACTAGAACGAAAAAAAAACATAAATTTGAAAACAAAATAACAAAAAAGTGTTTCATTTGAATGCACAAAAGGGTTAACAACATTCGCTGCTAATCAAACTGTATGACTGCCCGAAAAGAAAACTTTGATAACAGCAAAGTCAAGGTCAAATAGAGGTTAATGCGAAGCAAGAATAACCTGGATACAATTTACAGCTTACAGTAATTAACCCCAATTAGATCTATTTCAACAATATAATGAAGTGTATAGCAGAACGGTAGGAATTTTTTAATTTTCAATAATTGCCGCATTATCTGGGAAGAAAATGCTATGAGTGCTACAAATCGTAAGCCCGATAAGTGATTAAAAAATTCTTTGTTTTTAAAATATTTTTAAACAGCAAGATAAGAATTTTGTATTAATTACAGCAAGAATTTTGAATTTGAGATTAGAATACAAGAGTGGAAGTTATCTGTATTTGTTTTCCTATTGACACTATCGACGAAACATCTGAAATAATTCAAAAAAGTTGCTAAAAAACGAAAGATATTCACAATTGGAGGTTTATGCTCTTGTAATTTCGACCCTGATTCTTTTCGCTCTCATGCATAGATCGTGCGTACACATCTATGTTGTTAACTTTGTTTCTGCTGGCGACTGAATCGTGCCAAATGGCCAAAAATTATGTGTTGTGTCTGGGGCATTAACTGACGCATCAATATTTTTCAGAGACCCGAGCGCAGATAACTGGCAAAAGAAATACAAGCAAAAACCAGTTGAACGTAAAATGTGAAATTTGTGATCTGCAATTGCTGGCGATATCACGTAAATCGCCAAAAGCAAAACAAATATACATGTACATATATATAAGAATATATATATATATATATATATATATATATATATATATATATATCTACATTAATCTGCTCCCTCAGAGAACTCTCTCAGAATTCGTTAGGTTGTTGAGAAAAACCAATACTGATGCGACCGAGACTGACAGCTCTGTGCCCGGAAGCTTTAAGCGTTACTAAAATACAACAAGGAAGCCAACAGGCCCAGCCTGCCTTTATATGTGCTTCATATATATATATATCTATATAGTACATAAATATCATATAGTATATTTTATCGAATTTGCTTTACAAATTTGGCAATTGCATTTACGCACAGATTGGTCGACTAGCAGATACACTACTCTTTGAATATATATATATATTCAGTTTCGATAAACGGATTTTAGCTATTGTTAGCAGCTGATCTTTATGTGATTATATCTCTATAAACTAGTTTTTTAGTAACTTTCTTGTATCGATCATCGAGTTCAACTTGTACATATTATATATACATCTGTTATAGCCTTAATTATTACACCGCATTGCAAAGCTGTGCGCAAACTAATTTCAGATGCCAACAGCTGTTCGTAATGGAGCACAAGTTACCTTAAAAGCCAATTCGTTTTTAACGCTGCTTTGTTTCCGATGTTTGTGCGCAAACGGAAGATTCGTTCATCACCTAATTAAGAACGTGCAACGCCTTTCGTGTCAGTGTCCAATTGTCTGGCTGTAAATCGTTCAATTTGCGGGCAGCGATTGCCACTTGAGGCCTAATGCTATCAGTTGATCAGTTTGATCATCAGTTATCAGCAATAGAAATGAAGTCACATTGATTTCGGTTTCATTTCTCGGCTTATCAGCTGCTGTAATTGATTTGTCATTGCTGTGGACCTGGGAACGGGTAGCCCGAAAGAAAAATGAAATGATTGGGCACTTTCCCTAGCACGAGCCCCTTATCGCCCCGGGCCAATTGTACAATTAGGCAAAAATAGATCGGCCGCTCATTAGCTCACCGCGACTGGCACGTAATTAAGATCGAAATAGACTTGAAATAGCGCCCTCGCATACTACTACTATGCACACATATTTGTATTTGTGTTTATATACATATATGTATAGTTTATTATTATAAATTATATATATTTTTGTTTTGCTATCAGTTACAGATCCACAAGGAAGACACTACGGCCAGCAGCGTCATAGCGAACGGTATTTCGCTCGATAAACGCCCATTGCCAGTGTTACCAGTCAATGAGCCCACAACGGCGGCATTAATCGGCGAATTGCAACCGTTATACTCGCATAAGGTGCAGCCCAGCACACTCCAGCCATCAAATAGAGATTTGCAGACATCGCTCTGATTGTCATTGGTGACCAGGGTGCAGCCACGATTCGTTATTTCCGTGCCATTAACTAGGAACGAGATCAAAATCAAGCGAGGTTCATGTAAATGAAATTCTTGTTAATAGCATTACTATAAATATTAGTATAAGTACAAGTGTTCAATTGGAGTGTCTTAGTCTATTTCTTATCATTATTCTTATCCATAATATTATAGCTCGTATCATCAATATCATATTTGTTATCAATGTCATGTTCATCCTAATCAGGGAGACAGAGTTTCCAGTAGACAGAGGCATAAGAAGAAGTCAAAGTAGAGCCGTAAATTAGAGATGCACAGTAAACAGCTTTGACTATATAACTATATAAATATCCAAAGTTTCCAATTGAGTTGCCAGTTGTTCAGCTAATAATAACAAATGGGCCCATTACATCAGCATTGTTCAATCAACGCGCTAGCTAATCGCTTTTCCTTCTGTTACCGCTTCCATTTATCATGCCCTAGCGCACAAGAGCGTATAATAACTCACATTTCTTAAGCATTCGGCTTAAGTGTGATTATTTGAATAATATGATTTAATAATAATATGATATGTTCACTGATACCATAGCAAGGAAAGCGAGTGTAAAACGTTTTCTTGGATACCACTTCATCAATGCAAACAGTTTGAAATGTAGCGATAAGAAGCCTGTTACGACCCTAATATTAATGAAGCTATTTATAGAATCAGATATCGGGTGGAAAGCCTGTTTTTAATATTTTAAGCTCAAGCTCTGTTTGAAATGGAAGATTGATTGGCTTATTAAGGAATAAATCCAAAAGCTCCCATACCTAAAATATTAGGTATGAGGCTGTCATATTAGATTTAATCAAATATCAAAGCGTCCATTATTTTTGATTCCAAACATTATTATAAATAACTGTCAATTAAGCAATCAGTTATTAATCAGCTTGACATCAATCAATCTGACGTCAATCAGTCAGTCTGTCATCAGTCAATCAATAAACTATCGATCTGGAATCAATCAACCAATGATCAATGAGTTATCAAGCAATAATCAGTCAGTCATTAAACATTCAACTGTCAATCAGAGAGTTATCAATCAGTCTCTAATCATTCTATGAGTCATCAACCACGCACACAATCGTATACTAAGCCCATACTTACGCTCTAGACTTGCTATATAGCAAACGGCTCGCTGTGTGCTCTGGATCTGTCGCTGAGTCTGGCGACTGATGCTGCGTTTGTTTCGATAATCGTAATCCTCATCTTCTTCTTCTTCTTCCTCGCTTTCGCCATTAGCGGCGGCTGGAGCTGGTGCACCGGCTGGAGCTGCGGCACCTGCTGCTGTGCCCGCGCCAGCAGCAGCAGCAGCTCCAGCCCCATTGGTGCCAGCAGATGCACCTGGGGCAGCATCCTCCTCATCACTGTCATAATCATCCTCATCCTCGCTCTCGGATGCGGCAGCTGGTGATGATGCCGGTGCTGGAGCGGCAGCTGGCTTGTTAGCTGCTCCTGCAGTGCCTGGAGCAGTTGCGCTCGCTGCCGGAGCAGCTGGACTAGGGGCAGGCGCTGGATTGGGTTTCGATGGAGCGCTGGGACTTGATACAGCTGTACCTGGCTGCCCAGTTGCACTCGGCTGCTCCGCTGTCAAGGCTGGCACACTGCATACCTCCAGCTCCGTAAGGACCGACTGCTCATCACAGTCCTCGCATGTATAGCAACGCAGTGCTGCAAATCGGGAAGTCAGGAGTAACGTTATCTGCTCCACTCAACGGATAATTTATCCCGAACCATATCTATCGCCCAGTTAGTTTATTCTTTTCTTATGACAATTTCACCCACCTGAGCTGCCGACAGAGTAAAATGCCAGCAACAATAGCAAAAGGTAGATGAGACGCATTTTGCTCGCAACGACGATTATGAATATTTATCCTGAAGATAAATATTACTCTCAATATTTTATTGTTAAATGACGTGTCACTGCGGCCGTAGCTACCGAAAATTTGAATTGAACGGCCAGCATTGATAGCGACACGTCGTCGTCGTCGTCAGGCTGCTGTGCTGTGGATGACTCTATCAAAAATTTTTACCATCTGCCCATTTGCTATCAGCAGAATGTGACGGCGAAAATAATTTGCGGTACTGCTGAAACATGTCGTGCACTGTGCTGGATGACATGTCGAGCCGGCTCGATAGCATCGCCAAAAAGAGTTTCAAATTAAACGTTCCCGCCATGTTTGGGCGGTTGGATGGTTGGGTGGTTGGGTGGTTGAGCGGTTTGACAATTTGCTGGTTGATTGTTGGCATCTAACATGAGTAATGGGAATATTATCACTGATTGGCAAAAGACAACGTAGGAAGCCAAACTGTAACGATCAACAGGCAACTGTGCTACACTAGAAACTGTTAGACAGTCAACCAATTATCATTGTAGATGCTCTCTACTTTGCTACAGTTTTCTATTTGAGGAATGCATCAAAATATTGCAGCTGGACTGTATTGCATTGAACTATTATATACAACAATAAGAGGAGCGCCACCAGCTGTTTAGAACTGTTATACAGCTACTATTAAAATAATAGCTTGTTCAGTAATACGCTCATAGGGTCACACTGCTATACTGACATCCTGTTATAGTTACTCAATTCGATATACTGTTATACTGGCATACTGTTATACTGATATTCAGTTATACTGCTCAACTGTTATACTGTTCAACTAACCAAAGTGCTGTAAATAAAAGCCTAGCAATGGCGAGTGTTATACTGTTATATTGTCATACAGCATTGCTTGTGCATTTTATTTGCCATATTTTCATTTTGCTTATACACTAAGTTGAGCTCTAAAAAATTGCATTTGTTTCCAACAATTTTAGCAGCAATCGAAATGTGCAGATTTTGTTTTTTGTTTTTTTTTTTTTTTGGGCGTGGCCGTGGGACGTAAGCACTTAATTAAGCTCGCTGTGGAGTGGTGTTGCTCATTGTTTTTTTTATTCGTTTATTATTTCACAAATAGTTTTCTGTATTGCTTTGTTCAACTTTTCTAATTGCACATTTAATTAACATTTGTTGCACGGTTCATTTTTATGATTTGTTTTCCCCTTATTGTTTTTGTTTTTCTTTTTCACACTTTTGTTGATTGTTTTTAGCGTATTTCAAAAACAGAGTATAAATACATACATTTTCATTCTAATATACTGATATACATAAACATATATAGATATATAGTTTTCTTGTAATATTATTGCTTAAAGCGCTCGCTTTTATTGAAACATTTAAACACTCAGATATCAACGGTTTTTCTAACATATTTTTCATAATTCGCACACTCTTTCCCTTGTATTTTCGTTAGAGTATAGTAAAAAATCTTGAATCTTTTATTGCTGTTGGTTTTCGGAAAGAGTGCACAGAATTAAATACATTCAGTGTGTTTGAATTTTTTCTTTTCATATTTAATTATTTTTTGTATGGTCTTGTAAAGCACATCTATTTAAGTTCGATCTATCTAAAATACACATTCAAATCGAATACCATGAAATAACCATGAACAAGCAACAGAAGAGTGCTTGCAAAATGTCATTTATAATAAAAAATTTGTTATTTCTGCGCTTAAAACTAAATTAACTAAAGATCAGGCAATCAGAATTATTGTATTTTGATTTTCGGTTTTTATTGTTTTAATTGTAGAATTACTTCATGGTATCATTCATTTGAATGTTATATATATATATCTTATATTCATTCAACACTGCAATGTGAACAATAGAAAATTAAAGGCATTTTGTGAATTCATACTTGACATTCAGCTCATCCATATTTGCTCAAAGCAAATCAATTACAACTCAATAAAGCCATAACAAAACAATTCAGCCCAACTGCCTGACAAAATTCGTGTTAATTGACCAAGTGACGGACTCTCAATCAAATGAACTGAATTGCAAATCCTTGATATAAGACACATACATTGGATGGTTGCCGTTACCTTTGCCCTTTTGCTAAATAAACCTTTCGTTTTGGCTTTCTTTCAGCCAACTGTTAATTGAGACTCGCCTATTTACTTGGAGTCAATGCGCCACTGCGGTAATGTATCTGTCTGTCTGCAGTTGCTGTTCTGTATCTGTACCTTGTTTTCGTACTTGTATCTTTGTAGCTGTGTGTGTGTGTGTGTGCGTTTTTTTTTTTTTTGTATCAATAGCTGTGTATCTGTATCTCAGTCGCCGTAGCTGTCTATCTGTATCTGTATTTTTGGTCTCGTATCGGTAACTTTGTACAGGCATATCTTCCAGTCGGTCTCTGTATCTCACCTGTCTGTATCTGGTTGGTTTTTCTATGTCTTAAAATCGAATCTTGTATTTCGAACTCGGTCTGTATCTTTAGTTTTATATATATGAGAGATAATCGAAGATGTTTCATCCTAATTGTATCTGTAGCTCAGTGTCTGTATCTGTAACTGTAACTGCTTATTTATAGACTTTTTTAAATTTGTATCTATGTCTGTTTCCCTTTCCACATTTATATGTACTGTATCTTTACTGTATCTCCGATGTTACCTGTATCTTGGTAGCCGCAGTTATGTATCTGTCCAGTTGTATGTCCATTTATAGCCGCAATTACATATATACGTTATTACAATTCGGTTTCTCTCTATGCGTTCGCATCAGTTCCTGTTGCTGTAGTTTTATAGCCGTGTCTGTGTAGCTGTTGCTGCTCACCTGCATCTGTGAGCAATTCGTTGTTGTTGTTGTTGTTGTTGCATTCGTATTCCGCTGTCACTTACATATCTAGGGCTTTGGTAGCAATAAGAGTGGTCAGGTTTTGGGGTGGGGTCAGGGGGAGGTAAGGTTTGTGTGCTGTGATTCTCTTTTTTCTGTGTCGCTCAATGGCCACTTGAATATGTACAAAAGGTAAACGATAAACGTTAACGTTAACTCAACCTAAATGCAACCAATGTCGCCAGCCATCGCCGTCTATCCTCCGTCGTCCACCACTTCAGCAGCGCTGTGTCCGTGTCCACTGCAGCAGGAGCAGCAGCAGCCCCAGCAGCGACAGCGATGACGTCAGCGTCACTGCAGCTGCGCCGTTGCAGCGATCCGTTTTGCAAATGTCACAGAAGAACTCCTCCTCCGGCGCCTTCTCATCCGCATCCTGGCCATAGCCTTTGCGTCGCTGCTGCTGCTGCTGTTGGTCGTGCTCGCGTCGCCGATGTCGCTGCCCGCCGCTGGCATCGCTGGTGATTCGCAGCTTCGAGCGCAGTATATCACATGCATCCGAGTCGCCAGTGTCCAGCTGACAGAAGCGTGCGGTCACCAGCTTATTGGTATTCGCTGCGGCCAACCAAATGAAAGGAGAGATGAAATGTTAGCCAGCCAAAGGACTTTCACATTATCCAATACAAATATATGTACCTGAGGTACATAAATAGATCGAAATGGATGACTTCATACTCACGATCAGTTGCGACCACCTTTTGGCAATTCATGAGCGGATGCTTGTTGGCCCCATTATCGAAGTAGGAGAACTTGTTCAAGTCGAACAGCCAGGTGTCCAACGACTTCATTTTGTCCAATGTGCATTCCTACAATCCCAACCATTTTCAAGTGTTAATCATAAACATCTATAGTAAATATTTGTACTTGCGCAGCACGTACGAACAATGGCTAATGATTAATCAGATGTTGCCAGTCCAGTTCCCCACCTAACGGGCTGCTAATTGTGCTCATAATTGCCAATGCAGCTACCAGCTCTTATCTTATCGGTCTTGTTATCGTTATCGTTATCATATGTAGTTACTGTTGTTGTTGTTGTTGTTGTTATTTTTATCGGAGGTGCAACGGCCTTGCCGTGCATCATGCGTTGGCCCACAAAATATAAGCAGTCAGAAGTGCAGAAACTATATGACTTGGCTAATACTATAAACAGTAAACAGTTACAAATTATAGCGAATTTCTGGACTTTCCCTTTCTTTGATGAACATATACTTATGTATATGCAGAAAAATGAAAATAATTCGAATGGGATTATCATATTTCGACTCTTGATTCGATTTTTAAGTGAATGAAATGAAGTTTATGCCAAAATATACTGGAAAATTCTACCCATATTAACATTATATTTTCACGAGCGTCCAATGAAAATTATTGTTCATTGTATAAATTGAATTTCTTGGTAGCCTAAAGACTTTTGCATTCGTTGGGACATTTTTCAAAGTACCCAAAAATGGATACGTCCCAAAGGAATTGTTTCATGAATATAACGTTTTTTTTTTTTTTTTTTTGTTTTTTTTGTGCAAACAAAGAAAAACACAGACTCTCTAGGAATCTCTGTTTACCTACTGAAGTATGTCTAATATACTTTAAATAGTTCAGTCAGCACACTGTAGTCTGGAAACTCAGTTGACTCCTATTCCATGCCTAGATCCTTGGCTACAGATTAAGCTATAAATATTCACTTAGTAATGCCAAATTCATTTCCAGGTCTGTCTGAAATAAAAAACGCATTTATAGAGTTGTACCCCAAGACGGTAGGGCCTCATGCCTTTGGAAGGATGCCAGCACATTCCTTTAACGGTCACAACAATGACGACAGCGGCGCACGTTTCCGTTTCCGTTTTATTCCGATTTTACCACTCTTTAATTCTTGCTTTGCCTTATTTTTTTTTTTTATTCTTGCATTTTAAGAATTTATGTACTGTGTGCTTTTAATTTAGTACGAGCTGCACTTTGATTAAGGTCAACGGTGTCTGATTAGGTGAATGGCATTAACTGGGCAAAGGTTAAGGGCATGCCCGATGCCAATTGGTAGACTCGCGGCGTCTATCAACTTACCTCAGGCACAATGCTCGAGTTGGACTTCAGATCCGCACAACTGGGATTGTCGCTTGAGTCGCACACAAAGCACTTTATGGCCGCGCCTGTGGGTTAGGCAACAATATGTTTTCAGATTTTAAAAACAATTTCTAAACCCTAAATATGTATAAATACATTTTTACTTTTATTATATACTGATAATAATATTTACTGAATGGTGTGTTGCTACCTTTTAAGCACCTTAATCATAACATAAATGAAGTATATATATATATATCTGAAGTCTATAGAAGAATTCAGAATACATAGCTTTTACGACGAAAGACCTATGTACCTATGTATGTATATAAAGCGTAACTCTCAAAAATAAAGCTAAAGGCGAAATTTGATTTATTTAAGGTCAGGCCACGACTTTTAGGTCTTACGGCCACTTTGTCTTCTCCCATGTCTGATACAAGCACTTGCATATCTTTAGGCTGCAGTAGAACTTTTATTATTATTTTATTTTTTACTAATACTTTTACTGATAATTTTTACATCAATTTATTTTAGTTTTGTTACTAGAAGCCAAAAGCTCCAAAAGCTGAATTTTAGTTTATTATTTTAATCTAGTTTCAAAAAGTTTTCATGCTGCACTAATAAAGAGATAAAACAATAACTGAAAGAGCATATCGGCTGGGTAAAAGCCTAATATTATTTTGTGATTTGCAAATATAAAACCAAATTAACTTGAGTTATTTGCTTGAATATAAAAGATCCTCTGACAATCCGGATCAGGCATCTGGAATACTTTGCATACTTTAAAGAATTGATCCAATTTGTCGAATAGAGCATTGAGCAGTAATAGATAATAGACGATCTACTTTAATTCTGATAATATTACAGTTATGAAAGTTGAATAATTATGTTCTTTAATTATGTTCTTAACAAAGTTTTTATATTTGAAACTAACACACACGCACGCACGCACACACACACCTTGTGATATGCAGCATAGGATGGGCAATAGCAACAAAATAGCTGACGACCTAATCGGGCGATGGCACATTTTCGCACAGCACTTTTCTCCGCTTTTCACCAGCTCAACAAATTGCACAGAACACAATTTTCTGAAGCTTTCCTTCTGCTTTTGACACAATTTCTCTTTTTTTTTTTTATTTAACTTGTTTGATTTTATTCCTTTTATATAAATATAAATTTATATATATATATATATTTTGTTTTTTTTTTTTTGCACTTCTTTTGAGAGACACGTTGAGCAGAGTTCCTCTGGCGCTAGCGTTGGCCAATTGCAAACTGTTCGAGGAATTTTGAATTGTGGCTGTTGCTGGCGTTGGCTCCAAAGGACAAACCGGAGACGTCATCGGCAAAATACACGAGCCCCCCAGCCGAAGTCACAGTGAGCGGCACGAACGTTGAGGCATGCGGGGTGCGGCGCTGCTCAAGCCAGTGTTGACAGAATTGCACAGATTTCCCTCTAAAATTTAGCGATTTTCATTAGATTTGCTTGCTTGCTATTAAATATGTAAGTGATTAAAAAGATCATCAATTCTCATATCCAATTTAATAATTGTTATATAAGCCGTAATATTTTTTATTTCAGTGAAATTCACTAAGATCTTAGCGAAATTTGGAATATTTCAAAACCACTTCAGTTCCCTAAAATTGAAGAAGTATGTGTGTATGTATGTGTGTTGATGTGTCCATAGGCCCTTGGAACATGCAGTAGAATTATTTAAATGACATTACCTAATCGCCCACTTCTGAATATCTCGACTAATTTGACTACGACTTTTTTGTAGCATTTAATTTAGCCAGAAACTCGCTACTTTATGATGGTTGCTCTGATTTGGACTATGTGCCTCTCGCGGTTCTCCAACTCCATTGTCCTTGTACGCTGCGTGGGTGCGTCGGCCCGCAGCGCTCGAGTGGCGCTGACAGTAATAACCTCTTGGCTCCCACATGGCTGCGAGCCACAAAGAATGTTATTCAAATTCCATAAAACGTAGCCACATGCAGCCTCTAAGTCGCCCCCTTCCTCGCGCTGCAAAAACTGTTGCAGTGCATATACTTTTTGCATACATGTCTCTCTATCGGTGCTTTGGACTTATCAATCCAGCCACCTCTGTAAAATGATGTATGCATAGGAGAGCTTAGAGAACAGACACAGAAGCCGCAATTAGTTGGCGCCCCAGAGCGAAAACTCATCCGGTTCGTGGAGTCGTTCTGCCCGTTCCGCTTCTCAGCCTCGATGTTAGCCTTGGCGTGGGCGTTTATTTATCGCATTCAACATCCTTTTTGAGTCCTCAGGCAGTGCAACTAGCAAGCATTTCAAATTTATCATAAACAATGCGGCCTCTGATTGGTGTAGGTCAAGGCTCTGTCCCACTAGAAAATATTTAGTCAAACGACTTGTAATTTGAAATATTTAATACTCTTTCGCATTTCAAATTCTTTTTAAGTGTAATTTTTCATTTTGCTCTGTCTTTTATTGAACAGCAATCTATATATATATATATATATATATATATATATCGATAAGAGAATTTGGGAATATTCATTTCCACACCAAAAATTTGTATATTTTTCTTGAATACATACATTACATTTTATTAGGTCAGAGGATGTGTTCAACAAAATCGAAATACCCTTCTACGAAAGAGTATCAAATGATTTTTAGCGCCAAGTGCTGGCTAATGGGGTCGTTTGTTTTCAATGTATAAAAAAGAGCTTGAAGCTTGGAAGAACTAAGAGAACTATTTGTTAGAAGATTAGCTTGACCTCGAAGAAATGCCATCAGCGGGTTTTTATTAAAACTCTGTTGATGAAAGAAAACGAAATTCGCGCTGGGAAATTCAAAAGTAGACCCGATGCTAATATCAACAACATAATTAAATTATAATTTTTAAATTAATATGCTTACATTCAAATTGGATCCTGTGTATGAATAGCTCTGAGCTCTTAGTTATATGGAGGGCGAAAAATCTGGGCGAGCAATTTGGCAAACGATATGCGAATGGAGGTCAACATTAAATCAAAGTTGACCAAATTTGGCGTCTGTTGCGTGACAAGGCCGCATTTTCAACTGAAATGGACGCGATTGCGTCCAGTTGCCAATTGTCGGTGACGTCGACGTTGATGTCATAATTTCTATTTTCTTTGCTATTTTCGTTTTATTTCTTTATTTGTTCTGTCTTTTAATTTTTTACGTTGCATGCTTCTTGGGCACATAATTAAAAATGTTTACGCACGTTTCTCATTCCGTATCCACTTCTCTTTCCGTTTAGTCCAAAGGTCACCCGAACCGCTGGCCATAAATTATGCTTTCGATTTTTACAACTTGACACTTTTACCCACATAACACGGCCAGCATTGCCACACCTCATTTCCTTCTAGATCAGTCGCTGATAATTGAAAATATAGCACAGCAATGCCGGAGCGCTGCGATCACGAAACTGAAAAGTTCAAATTCTTATCTCAAGCACTGTTATGTGATAGTTTTGTATACCCTGAACCCTGAACCCATTGAAAATTTAATTCGATTAATTTATTTCACTTTTTCAGCATATTTTGACTACTATTACCCTAGAGACTTCAGATTTACTGCGTATATAAATTATGCATTATAATTACACAGATTTTGTAATGTACCGATTTTGGACTTTATGCTTCCTTTGACTCCAATTTGTAAAAAACGTATTTTAAGTACTAGGACTTTGGAATATATGAACATTCAGAAACAATGTGATCGCGTTGTAACCGTATTTCTCTCTCTATCAAATCAGATCACTGCAACAAATTAAATTTAATAATAAAATATATATATACACATATGGATGGGATGGAAAAATTTGTTATCGATTCTCCAGAACAGTAGAGTCACTAGCCATATGGTGTGTGGTATAGCACTAACCAGTGGGTATAGTTAATGGTAGTGGTACTCCAATATGATCATTGATCATCGATGTGGCTACACTGTATATATCGATACAATACACTACAATGCTGCAATACGATAGTTGTCGACTATTCTGATTGACAATACGGCTTTTATACTGACCCTTTATTGCGCTTATCTTCATACAGTTTGCTGATTATTGTTTTGACTCACAGTTCTTGTCAATTACTTGTTAATTGAAGTCGTTTTCTTGCAAGCAGTTAAAGCATGGCTGCAATAATAAATCCTAAATATATAACAGACCAGACAGAGGTAAAATCTCTACAGTTAATGGTTATACATATGTATATGTATGCATATACCTATACCGTTTTATTCATCATATGTAGTCAATAGGCAGCGGATCCTACGGTGATGTGTACACTGCGAATTTGAATGTGGCCATAAAGAAACTCAGGTCATCAGATGGAGGTGAATCGTTTGAAGCGGAGGCCACGAACTTACTTCGTGCTCAACATCCGAATATTATAAGATTATACGGCATTTCAATAAAAAAATGTGAAGATCAAACAAGTAACAGACTGGTTATGGAATATGCTGACAATAAATCTCTCGATGAGTACATACATAATAACAAGAACAAAACGATTACAAAATCACATCGTCAAAATCTAATGCTTCAGTGCGCCGAGGTTTGCGCCCTCCAGTTATTAATGATTATATTACTAAAGTTTTCTATAACAGGGAGTCGCTTATCTTCATAGTCTGACACCCTTGATACTGCACCGCGACCTGAAACCCGCAAATATTTTACTTACAAATAACTATTGTACGCTAAAGATTTGTGATTTCGGAACGGCACGAGAACTAGGACCAGAAATGACAGCCGACAAAGGAACTAATGTGTATAGGGCACCAGAAGTATGTATTTCGATTATTAAATGGAATTTGAATTTTATTGTGTCTGCTCATGGATATTATACTCATTCCCGAAAGCGAATCATTTTAAAACTGTTATATTTAACATTTATTCATTTTTCTGTTACGGTCTATTATAACATCACAGATCCGCCACAATCAATACACTGAAAAATGCGATGTCTACAGCTTAGCACTTATACTGTGGGAAGTAATGTCTGGGAAAAAACCCTTTCATAAAACTGATCCTGCATATACTGACGCTGGGATTCCATACCAAACGGTTAGAGGTAGCAAAACTATGAAAAGGGCCAATTGAAATTATTTCTCTACTTCTGTTACAGGTGTTCGACCAGACTTGAAGGATTTGAATTTCTGTGAGAATGTAGAAATTATGAAAGACCTAATTGAACAGGGCTGGGATGGAGAGCCGTGTAAGCGGCCGTCAATGAAAATATTTGCCTGTTACTTAGCCTTGATCATTCATCGATAAAAAAGCTAGGAACCCCTTCCAATGATGATTGCAATTAAATTAAACCGGTACTTATGTACGACCGACATCATGGATACTCTGATTGAGCACTTGAAGACCCAAATAAGCGACAGTTAATGAAAACACGGTGGAGTGGAGGAGAGTGGAGGTTATAACGGACCGACAATTTTAAATATTTATACCCGGAGGATGCTTAAACCTGACGGAGATGAAAAATCTTATAATATATTTTAAGGTAAAACAAAATTATTTTTTATCAAAACAAAAAATGTTATAGCTTTATTTCTTTAAAAATGTCGGCTGTGTCAGTGGATTGTCGTTAAAAGCGGAAACGTACTACGTAGAGAGGTTCTTACATACAAGTTTGTATGACGACCGACCAAGACATCGTTATAACCGCATTCCACTCTAGTCACACCATGAACATCCATGAAAAAGTGTTTCGAGTTCGAATTGTTCAGCTTTTGCTAACTTGTTGTTGTAGTTATTGCAACGGTTCTATTTTAACGATACATCGATATGTTGAACTAATGCAACTCCATAATTTTAAGGCTCATTCGGCTCTCATTAGTCACCTTTTGCGATCCGAGAATGGCTGATCAAATTAAGTGGAGTGACATAATTGATTTAAAAGTACTTAAATATATTATGTTGTCAAATATGTATATAATAGTTTTACT